GCGTCCTGACCCAAGGGGCTGTTTTCTCGCTCAAGGAGAACCACAGGAGGCAGTGGGTCGACATCTTCGAGGCAAAGAGATCTACCTCTGCCCTGCCGAAGAGACCCCAGATGTTGGCCACCACCTCTGGATGAAGCCGCCACTCCCCTGGTGGGGGCTTGTGACGGGAGAGGAAGTCTGCGACTTGGTTCTGCTCTCCGGACAGATACATTGCCCGTAGGCTGGCCAGGCAAGGAGCTGCCCAGGTCAGGAGAGTCTGGGACACCTCTAGCAAGCGTGCAGATTTGGTGCCCCCTTGGTGGTTTATATGGTACACCGCTGTAGTGTTGTCCGAGCGGACAAGCACATGCCTCCCCCTTAGGTATGGCAGGAAGTGCCTGAGTGCTAGGTGCACAGCTCGTAGCTCTAGCACATTGATGTGTTCCGTGCCGTCCAGAACAGACCACTGTCCCCGGGCTGTCCTGTTTTGCCACACCGCACCCCATCCCGAGAGGCTGGCATCCGTCGTAACGGTCTCTCTGCGGAAAGGGACGGAGCCCATGGCCACGCCCCTCGACATATATGACCTCTCCCTCCATGGGGATAGAGTGGAGAGGCACTGTTGTGACACCCTGATTCTTTTGTGCCTGTGCAACTTGAGGTCTAAGTGGAGGCCGTTCAGCCATCTCTGCAGGGGGGCGCAGTGATAACAAGCCCAAGGGAATGACAGTTGAGGCAGCTGTCAGCATGCCCAAGAGGCGGAGAAACCGGATAAATAGCCAGAGACCTGCCCCTTTTGAAGAGGGGAAGAAGCTGGAGAATGTTGTCCAGGCGCTGAGCAGATGGACAGGCCCGCATAGTGACTGTGTCCAGAGCCACCCCAATGAAGGTTAGGCTCTGAGAGGGGTTCAGATAACTCTTCTCCATGTTCACCTTGAGGCCTAGCCGGGTGACATGAGAGAGAAGGAGAGCCGTGTCCTGGGTTGACTGCAACCGGGACGGTGCACAGATTAGCCAGTCGTCTAAGTATGGCAGGAATCTTCATACCCTGAGCTGCAGGGGTGATAGGGCTGCCGCGACACACCTGTGAACACCCTTGGGGAGAGGGAGAGTCCGAATGGGAGCACCCCTGAACTGAAAATGACGGCCTCTGAAGGCAAAGCGAAGAAACTGCCCTGTGATTGAGGTACAATAGGCACATGAAATAAGCGTGGACGTGAACCATTCCCCCCTGGCAACGGTACGAAGAACGTCCGCTGTGCTCAGCATATGGAAAGGTAAGATCTTTAGGAACTTGTTGAGTCCCCTTAGATCTAGGATTGGGCGAATGTCCACCGCCTTTCTTCCTTACCAGGAAGTAGGTCGAGTAGAAACCCCCGGGCTTTGAGATGGGGTCTACAGGCTCGATTGCTCCTTTGGCAAGGAGGACTGACAGCTCCTGGTTTAGGGCGATTTATTTTGCCGGGTCGGCTTATGGTGGTCATTTTGACCCGGCTGAAGGCTGGGGGTCGGCGTCGGAACTGAAGCTTGTACCCTTGGGTTAAGGTGGAAACCACCCAGGGGTCTGCAGCTTGAGCTACCCAGTAGTTGAGCTTGCTGCTGGGCCGAAATAACCGACAGCCGGCCCCAGGACCCTCAGCGCCTTGCCCCCCGGCCTCGTGGAGGCTCTGGGGGGGGCGATGGTTAGGCAACCGGATACCGAGGGCTGCCTTGGTGGCGAGGTTACAGGGACCGTTAGCGGGCCGGCCCCCCTGGTGGGATACCGACGGTTCCCAGGGCAGGGGGTACCGGGGGTGAGCTGGTGGACGGGAGCGGCCTCGGAAGGCAGATGCGGAGCCTCTCGGCCCTACCGGGGGGGGGGGCATGTCTCTGCGAAGAGCTTGAGAACTGTTGCCTGGTCTGACTAGCTTGGACAGTCCGTTCAAGCACCTGTATGGCCAGCTGAACCGAACAGTTCCCCGGGCTCCACTGGGACAGCAAGGAGAGTCCTCCTACATGCCTCTGATAAAGGTGGACTGTGCCAGCCAAACCTGGCGACGAGTCTGGACGAGGAGTGGACATCAGGCGCCCAAGCTCTCTGACATCAGAGCAAACGCCTGTAATGAGGCGTCACTGAGCTGGTAGCAGAAGCGCTAAGAGCCTCCTGCTGCAGGGAAGCTGAGAGGGCGAGCATGAGGTGAGAGAGGGAATTGCCTATACGGCCCATGCGTGCCGCTGTAATCGTAAGCCTTAGTGAGCAGGTCATCAGTGACCCGACATTTGGGGTCGAGGGCACCTGGCCTCCGACCTCAGAGCTTCATCAGGGGAAACTATGAGGGAAGCAATGGTAGGCTCCACAGCCGGCATATGATCAAGGCCGACCTTTGCCGCATCTTGCATGGCTGCTAGGGCTTGGCCATCGGACGTAAGACGGGAAAAAAGTCTTAGTGTCCCTCCAGCATGCATGTAACTCCCTCAGATACTCACAAGAGGGAGGAAACTGCAAGGGTGGCGGGTGCAAAGTGCGCCTGAAGAACGCACTGCTAGGCACTGTTTCGGGCTGCTGTACATCCAACTGCTGGCGAGCCAGTGCCATGCGGATGACGGGTACTCATGGAGCCGACATCCGCCCCCCCCCGAGGATACATGATCTGAGGTACAGGAGCCAGGCCCAGAAGCCTGGGACGGGCCCTCTCCCTTCATACTCATTAAATTGAGTGGCTGAAGCTGCCAATGAGAACACATCGTCCTCTGGAATCAGTTCAGGCATGGGTGGACTGGGTGCAGCGGCGTGCTCTGTACGGACACCAGAATGGAGAGCCAAGAGGATTGACTTCATCTGGGCAACCTCAGTAGTGAGTCGGTCCACCCTAGAGGACAGCCTATCAGGCTTAGTCCTTTCTTGGGGCGGGGCCACTTGCAGCCTCTGCTGCCCGACGCCTAGGACGGGTAGGTTGGGATGTAGTCGACTGTGCAGGGGGAAGGCCACCCTCAGTCAGTAGTTCAACCCTGGGCTAGTCTAGCAGCTCTTACCGCACGAGGCCATGATGGTTACAATTCATGCACGAGTCCTCCGAAAGGCCCTCCCTCAGATGCTCGAGGCCAAGACAAGAGGGGCAAAGGTTCATGGCCATCCTCTGGTTGCAGAGAAGCCATACAGGTGTTACAGCCGTTAAACATAGCACCACTCTTAGGGGAAGCACTCAGCTGACTGTAAATAACTGGCCAGGGAAACAACTCCACCATGGAGGGGAGTGAGCACAAAGTAGTTAGCGTGAGCGTACGCACTCTGCTAACTGGGGTGCGAACAAGTGTGTGGTATGTATGCTGTGAGAGGAGAGCGGAATACTCTCTCCCTAGCGCCGTAGCAAGTTAGCCTGAGCGAAAGCACTCTGCTAACATGAGATGGAATGGTTTCTTAAGACAAACTGTGTGCAGGGAGAGGGGGAGCGGGAAACACTCTCTTCACTAGCGCTGGTAGCGAGTTAGCTTTGAGCGAGAGCACTCAGCTAACTGGAGGATGGAACAGAAACCAACTGTGTGCAAGGAGAGGGGAGCGGAAACACTCTTCACTAACGCTGTAGTAAGTTAGCTATGAGCCAGAGCACTCGGCTAACTGGAGGATGGCACAGGAACCAATTGTGCACCGTGGAAGGGCGAAGACACTCTTTCACTAGCGCGCGTAACAGTTAGCTTGACGGGAGCACTCAAACTAACTGGACGATATACAGGTAAGGAATTAAATGTCTGTAGTGAGAGGAGGGCGGAGACGCCCTCTTCACTTAGTGTAGTAACAGTTAGCTTGAACGGGCTAGCACTCAGCTAAATGGACGATAGAATCAGATAAGAAACCAATGTATGTAGTGAGAGGAGGTGCGGAGACGCTCCTTTCACTAGTGCAGTAACAGTCTAGCTTGAACGAAAGCGCTCAGCTAACTGGACGATAGAATCAGGTACGATAGAATCAAATGTTTGTAGTGAGAAGAGGGCGGAAACGCTCTCTTCACTAGTGCAGTAACAGTTAGCTTGAACGGGCTAGCACTCAGCTAACTGGACGATAGAATCGGTTAAGTAACCAAATGTTTGTAGTGAGATGAGGGCGGTAGACGCTCTCTTCACCAGTGCAGTAACAGTTAGCTTGAACGGCTAGCACTCAGCTAACTGACGATAGAATCAGGTAAGTAACCAATGTTCGTAGTGAAAAGAGGTGCGGAGACACTCTTTTCACTAGTGTAGGTAACAGTTTAGCTTGAACGAAAGCGCTCAGCTAACTGCGCAGTGACAATTAGCGAGAGCCCTCGGCTAATTGTATACAATTATCTCATTAGTTTGAGAATATATAGCACAAACAGCAAAAACGGTAGCGCCGGCTGACGTGCAGGAGCGTCCGCTCTTTACCGATCCGGAGCTCCTAAGATCCGAGCGGTGAATACCGCGGTCCCCTCCCTTGGGAGGACGGACAGCTAGCTCGTCGCAGCCTTTGGAGGGCGAGCGTCTTTCTAGCCCGCAGCTCCGATCTAACGATCACAAGGCTACAAATAGCGATGAGCTAGGATCTTAATTGTTCAGTAAGCTAGCTTTGGCTTCTACTCATAAAGTAGTAACCTACGCTGCGAGAAGATGAAAAGGACTGAACTCGTCGACGGCACCGGAACTTATGCCTTCCGGGTCGTACGAGGTCACACGTGACTTTGTTGATATAAATATTCGACCTACGCATGCGCGAGACAGAAGATATCCAGTGCTAAAGCACCGCCTCCGGCGGTCAGTAGGTATGAAATAGAACTAGCTGCACCTTTACCAGCTTTGAGAACACTTTCATGATCAATCATTATAAAACATATCATATATATTATTCTGAAATGGACCAATCTGCAGAATGACTACTTTAAGTATATTTAGATGGCAATACTTTTTACTTGAGTAACATTTTGATTGCAGGACTTATACTTGTAACAGAGTATTCCTACACTCTGGTACTTCTACTTTGACTCAAGTACAAGATCTGAGTACTTCTCCCACCTCTGCTAATATCTCCCCAGCTCCTTCAACACGCTGTACCTGCAGCTACAGTGTCCCGCTGTACAGCCCCCTCTGGTGGTCACATCCAACAACGGGCATAAGAGCATAGACTTCCATCAGGTGGCAGTGGGTGAGTGATTTAAAGTGTTCACACGTGCATCTACCATACAGACATTTTATTGTTCTCATCCTTATCCTTGTGTTTTGTTTGTGTCTTCTGTCCTCAGGAGAAAAAGTGATCAAGAGGTTTACAGTCCAGAACATTTCAAAGGAATCTTTGGATGTATCCTGATCAAACTAAATGTTTAACACATTACTACAGAAGGAGGAATCATGTTTTAAAGGGCTAACGCAAAGAGTGTTACAAAATCCCACTTCATGTGTACAGCAGCGGAAAACTAAAAAAAACGAACTCTGAATTGAAACTGCTGCTGAGGCATTGTCCTATGTCCAGCCAAGAATGTCCTTTCAATGATCCACAATGACAACTGTTTACCTACCTTGCCATGCTGCCTTTCTCCAATAAATACAAAATGCTCAAAGCTGCCTTCAAATAAAAGCATATAAACAACTACTTGAATTTATTTAGAAAATGAGACTAAATAAATGTAAAGAATCCTAAATAGTTTTACTTTTTTTAAATATTCTATAGATAAGGCATCTTTGTATGTCCTGACTTAATAGTCGAATGAAGCTGGTATTTCTTAACCCTAAACTGGCCCTATACTACTTTTATTAAAGGAGATGCTCTACACATTATGATATAAATAATATGAACTGTTTGCCACTTCTTTGACTGTTTCCAAGCTGAGGTCGTCAGTGCTGGATGTCCACGGTCCTTTTTCCCTCCTGAATGCTCTCAGATGCATCAGACCTGGGGAAACACACACTCTGGTGCTGGCCTTCAGTCCATCTCTGGAGAAAAAGGTCTGTTAACTGTGTAGAATAAAAAAAAAAAATGTAAACGTTATTTATATAGCTCCCTTTATACCGGACGTATAGTTCAAAATACTTTACAATAAAGTGAATCAAGCAAAATAAATAAAAACGGTGTAATAAAACCAAGCAAAAAGAACATGTTAAAAATAGAAATGAAACAAATGATGTAAAAGAACATACAAAATAATAAATACAAAGGAAGAATGAAAGTTAAAGCAATGATAAATAAAAGTTTTACAATTGTAGTCTCTTTTAAATCTAGCAGCAGAGGATCTAAGCTTCAGTAATGATTATGAAACAACAACGATTTAGCAATGAAGGCTCCCTATGAGTTATTCCGCTGAGAGGCTGAAACTTGCTCTTCGCTGTGACTAGCTCGATTCAAAAGTCTGTAGTCCGTTACAGTTCATGGTGTTTAATAAAGACACAGAACAAACAATATCCAAATCCAGAACCACGCGGTCAACAGAAAGTGTTGGAGCAATTTACCCTCTCCTCTTCGTCATACACAAAACCGGCTTCCCACAGGTGACCTAAATACAAATCAACCACACCCATGTGACAATTGCCGGAAGTGATAACCAATAAGAATTAAAAGTGGTGTAAACAGAAATGAAGATGATAATAAGAATAATAAGCAATGGCAAAGCAAGCATTGTGGCTCCTACCCCTGTCCTAAACTATTAAGAGCCTTTAAAACCAATGAAAACAACTTGAAAATGAATCCTAAAAGAAGAAGGGAGCCAAAATAGGTTAGCTTATACTGGTTTGATATGCTCTCCATTGACCATGGATTTGAATTGACCACAGACGGCTGGCTGTTTCCTCAAACTTTTCCCACAGTACTTGTTTTTCCTCATTAGTTTTAGCTGTTGTAATGTTCCAACGTTATTTAACAACCTTCTACTGTTCTGCAGTTCAGTGAGACTCTGGAGGTGCGTTGCCAGAAGATGACCCTTGAGATGACTCTTCGTGGGGAGGGGGTGCTCCCCGCTGTCACCTGCTCTCACCCTGGAGGTCTCCTGGACCTTGGCTATGTGCTGGAGAAGGAGAGCACCTCGCACGTCCTGAAGGTCAGTCAACACAGTGCTGACGGCAATATTATTTTTGTATCAGTAGTTACAGAGAGTTGTTATCGCCCGATTCTTAAGCCTCTGTTTGAAGGAATAGGCAGTGTCGTCGTCCACTGACCCCGGCCAACAAACATGTCACGGTAAAATGTTTTGTTCACACATTCAGAAATGTTCTACTTTTTGGCACATTTTTGTCAAATATTAAGTTTATCCACTCACCAAACTAATTTAATAACCCATTGACTTCAACATAACGCAACAGGAAGTGCTCCAGTGCTGATTCGTCCAGGGTATTAGGACACATCCAGCTAACAAAAGCTCAGCGTTTTTCTCCCTTTAACATCTTGGGGCTAATCAGTTGGCAAAAAAGCACAATGGCCGCCAGGTAGAGAAGTTTCAGGTGGTGCTGATACTTACAAACACATCTATAATTGACAAAGTATATATATTATACAAAAAGTACAATAGAGTATGTTTTTTTCTTAACATTTTGTGAATGTCTTTACACACTGTGGACATAATTATGTTTAAAAGCCATGAAAAAGTGAATTTCTTCATAATATCGGACCTTTAAAACAATGAACTCCGTAACTGGATTCAGCTGCACTGATTACCCTGATGCTTTTGAGCAGACATGTCTTGGAACTGACTTTAATTCCTGTTTTTCGAGCAGATGCAGAACAGCTCGGCGGTGGCAGTGGGCTTCAGGGTGCAGCTGGCCAGCCTCTGCCCCTCCAGGCCTCCGGGGGGAGCTGATGGTGTAGCCTCACTGCTGGGGGGTTACTCAGGCTCTCAGCTCCAGCCTACTGTGGGTAAGATATATTAACGCTGCACCATTCAACAGATGTCATTCTCAGATCATTCTAAATCCACTACTATAGGTTGGGCTGTCTTTCATTTTCAGGACGCTTTACCAGAAAATACTTCCTAAATATAATATGGGAAATTGCAGTGGCAGATCAGTGTTAAGTGTAATTTTAATAGTTTTTTGAAAGACCCAGAAAGATCTTCAATTCAATTCAATTCAAAACCTTTATTTATCCAGGTAAAATCCCATTGAGATCAATGATCTCTTTTTCAAGGGAGACCTGCAGCAGTAGGTTCCACAAGAAGACATAAAAACATAAACAACAAAAGGACATCATACAGCAAAATGTACAGGGATTACAATTTACATATTTAACCACAAGTACAGGTACCAACAGCATCTGATTTTGTAGCATCCAACCGAGCTTTAAAAACATGTAGTGGTACTAGCTTGGTCATTTTCCATTCTTTTTGCAGACTGTTCCAAGTTAGTGGAGCTGCACATCTAAAAGCTTTCTTCCCTAAGACAGTCCTAGCACTTGGCACATTTAATAAAACCACAGCATGCGATCTCAGGCAATAAGTACTTTCAATTCGCAGAGAGATCAGGGAGCAGATATAAGATGGTAGTTTATCCAACATGGCTTTGTAAATGAAAAAGTACCAGTGACTGAGCCTCCGTACAGTAAGTGATGGCAAAACCGCCTTGGTATACAGGGTACAGTGATGCGTGAGTGTTTTACAATTTGTCAAAAATCTCAGAGCACTGTGATACGCAGCATCTAACGTGCTCAGGCAATAGGCAGGTGCATTCATATAGATCAAATCACCATAGTCCAGCACAGGTAAAAAGGTCACAGTGACTAGCCTTTTCCTGGCCTCAAGCGAGAAACAGGACTTGTTTCTGAAAAAGAAACCTAGCCTAACCCTCAGCTTTTTAAGCAGGTTATTTACATGAAATTTAAAAGTGAGACAGTCATCAAGCCAGATACCCAAGTATTTGTAACAGGTAACCACTTCAAGTTGTATTCCTTGCGTAGTTACAATATCCAAAGCAGTCTCCGGTGTATTTTTAGCTTTAGAAAAGAGCATTACCTTGGTTTTATCCACATTTAAAAGAAGCTTAAGCTCAGAGAGCTGAGCCTGAATAATGTTAAAAACAGCCTGTAATTTAACAACAGCCTCGTTAATCGAGGGACCTGCACAGTACATAACGGTATCGTCCGCATAAAAATGTAAGGTTGCTCCTTCGACATTTTCACCTAAACTATTAATATAGATGGAGAATAATAGCGGACCTAAAACTGAACCTTGTGGAACACCATTAGTGATGTTTAACCACTCAGAAGACAGCCCATCAAACTGAACACATTGGGACCTTTCAGAGAGGTAGTTTACAAACCACCCTACTGCATGGCTGGATATGCCTTATAATGGGTCAACCCTAAAATATATACATGTTATTGGTTCCCCTTAACCGACCATAACTCAAACATCTGGCTTCCCCTCCAGCAAAATGTGTTTTCTGCCAGAAATAGAAAATAAAATAAGTTCTCATTTGATCTCAATTACAATGTTTGTTTTAATTTATTTTAAAAGCAGCACTTGTAGCCAGGGTTGCAATAAATACTCAGATCCTACATACAGGGTGTCCGCGGGGTCTTAAAAAGTATTTTAAGATAAATAAATATAGCGAAAATTAAGGCTATTAAAAAGTATTAAATGGCATTTTCCAAGGTATTAAATGTTGTAGCTTGTTTTCAATAAGTATATCAATTGTCCAAAGAGGTTGTCGCACGCTCACTGCTTGATTGCGCGCGAAGGTCCGTTTACGCCTGTTGTTAAACAACATCGTTTTGGGGAAATGCAAGTTTGCATCTCTTGGGAACAATGCCTAAATCAAATACTACATTGGTTTCTTTTTCTAATAAACCTTACATTGGGTTGGTCACACAATTAATTCTCTTGTGCTTTGTTCTATCTGAATTATGATAAGGAGTTATCACAAGCTGTTTAGTTGTGCTATCTTAATCAATACTGTATAGTAAATGTGAGGTAAAGTGTGTCGCCAATGTAACCGGTTGGAATTTGAAGTGGCGATGAGGTCTTAAAATGTATTACATTTGACTTCAGGATTCCTGCATATACCCTGTACATACTATAGTACTACATCACTTCTGTTATACCCTGAGCAGGAACTCAGAACCTCAGCGGGCTGAGTGTGTTCAGCGTTCTGCCAACAGAGGGCAGCATCGCTCCAGGACAGAGTCAGGACCTCACGGTCAGCTTCCAGCCGGACCACCCGTCTGTCTACTACTCTGACAGGATGACCGTAGAGCTCAGGAATAAGGTGAGCAGAACACCACACAGAAAGACTCCCACCCACAGGACTAAAAACTTGACTCTACGCACTGGAAAATCAGCGTTCAGTTTTTATTCTCCAACATACTACCAAAATATGTGATTATTCTGTTTTCCCTCTCTCTTGTCTTGTAATGACTGTCATTTTCTAATGTGTTTCTTTTGCACGCTGTGTAAATACTTTAAATAGTTTTGTAGTTTAAATGTGCTATATAGAAAACGTGCCTTACCTTTAAAAGTATGCCATGGTTCGGGCAAAATTATTATTATACGCTGATCACTTTATGACTCTATAATACAACCTAACCCTGTATCCTTTCTGTCTCTCAGAGTGTAGTGTGTGTGTTGGATCTGAGGGGGGCAGCCTCTTCACACAACATGTATCTGTGTGGAGGAGACCCTCTGACGGTGCCCATCGAATCCCTCCTCCCTCCACTGATCACGGCTCAACCTCAAATCACAGGTATCCTCCACCTTCTGTTCGAAATTGGAAATTATCCATGCAAAAATGGTCTTACTTAAAATATGTTCTCAAAGATACTGAAGGCAGCGAAAATACAGACACAGAAACTATACAAATGACTAAGAGTATGTGTTGTAGTCATTGAAGCTAATCATAAGGAGCTGAGAGAACATGTGCTTGTCAACAGCATCCAGATAACATCTCACCACAGAATCCATGTGTGAAAATAGGGGCACTTCCTGGATTAGGTCACCGGAAATCCCAAACTAAAACTGTAAATCCAAGTGCTGTTGGTGCATTATGACAGCATCTGTATTTGGAGGAGAGCTTGTGCTTTGCTAGAATTCGTACTGTAATTTACGTACTGTACGGTGATTTTTATGTCACATAATATTTCTCTAGAAGTAAAGTCTAATTTGTTTCCGCATTGGCATTGTTGCAAGTGACCAAATTATGAAGATTTTGTCTTCTGCTATGTCTGCAACATTTGTCCACACTGGCCGAATGTGCCATGTGTGCACACAGCTGTGTACAAAGAAATGTGTGCATCCACACTGCACACATTTCTAGACTATATCTTCCCTTGTATTGTTTTCTAAAAACTAATTATTGACATTCAGTATCAAACATAACTCTATAAAATGAATTTCAAATACCATAAGCAAGCATACATCATCCATTTATGTTTGTCTGAATCGCCTGAACACGCAGAGTGCGTAGGGCCTCATCTTGCGCAGGGGGCCTCCTCTTATGCGCCACAGTTTCCCCGTAGCGAGGCTCTGGCGCTAACAGTTCACGAGCGGGCTCTAGCCCCCCTAACAATAGCATGCTAGTATACGGATAATAGTACCATGCTGATGCCATATATAATGTAAGGTCAACCAACTTACAATCAACACAAAGTGCTTCTGAGGCTGATGGGAAGGTCATTCATTTTGCAGCTAAGTAAGTATTGGACACTTTTGACTTAAAAACGGCACTATTTGAAAAGTCAGGGGCTCCCCAAGTCATCCTCAGGGGACCTTGAATATTGGTACAAAGTTGGATTCATTTCCACCCCATAGTGGTGAAGGTATTTTAGTCCAACCAAAATGTTGTTTTTTGCCACTGGTCTGGTGAAAGTACGTATTATTGGTTGTAAATAGGCCTAACTTTCCTGTGGTCGTCTGTTTGGAGCAGAGTCAGAGGTGATGGAAAAGCCCACCATCCCTGTGTTGGTGAACCTGAGGGCCGGCTACAGCGGGGGGGCTATCACCCCCGCAGTGAGGGAGCTGCAGGTGGGCTCCATCCGCTCCACCCAGCCCAGCAAGAAGGTACTGATGCTGCTAAATGCTGCTAAATGCTGCATCATGTGTACTGCAGTGCATCATAAGGGAGTTCATAAAACATCATACCACTCGATCCAAATAACCTGCACTGTCTGTACGACGACTCGCAAAATTATGTAAAAGACGAAAATGTATATATTGAATAATCCCATAACTATAGATATCTGAATATATGTAGAACTTTAACTTAAACTGTCACTTTTCTTTTACATATTTTTCCTACACTTTTATTCTCACATTTCTTATTTCATCTATTATTATTATTATTATTATTATTATTATTATTATTATTATTATTATTATCCTTGTATGAGTTCATATCTGTCCTATGTTTACCCTTGTTGCTGTTGCTGCTATGACACCTGAATTTCCCCTACGGGGAAAATGAAGGTCCATCTTATCTTAATAAGAGTCAGGGTTTCTCTTAGGATCATCATCAAACTAAAATATTATTATGATACTGTGGTGTGTGTGTGTGGTGTGTGTGTGTGTGTGTGTGTGTGTGTGTGTGTGTGTGTGTGTGTGTGTGTGTGTGTGTGTGTGTGTGTGTAGTGTGTGTGTGTGGTGTGTGTGTGTGTTGTGTGTGGTGTGTGTGTGTGTGTGTGTGTGTGTGTGGTGTGTGTGTGTGTGTGTGTGTGTGTGTGTGTGTGAGTGTGTGTGTTGGATGTGGTGTGTGTGTGGTGTGTGTGTGTGTGTGTGTGTGTGTGTGTGTGTGTGTGTGTGTGTGTGTGTGTGTGTGTGTGTGTGTGTGTGTGTGTGTTGTGTGTGTGTGTGTGTGTGTGTGTGTGTGTGTGTGTGTGTGTGTGTGTGTGTGTGTGTGTGATGACTCACTCTTCTCTGTTTTCCCCCAGAGTGGTGAGTTTCACTGGGAGAACGTGGCGTCTCTGCAGCAGCAAGGCTTCACTGTGGAGCCCAGCAAAGGCACCGTGGAGACGGGCCACAAACGCACCGTCACCATCACATGGAGTCCCCACAGTGGATACAAGGTGAGGACAGTATCACCACTTTTATAGAGGAGAAACCAACGTTTACAGAGGAGGGTGCAGGTTAAAATGTTAGCATGAATCGGAATTCATTTAAAGATGTGTCTTAAAGGTTTTTCTCTTACAAGTCTTGATTTTACAGCAAATGCAAAATCTCCTATTATTCAGTTTACTTAAAAGGTCACCTATCATGCTATTTTTAGGCAATAGCATAGGTCTCAGATATATACAAATATATAAAAAACATGTCTATGAAGTGTTTTGCTCAAAATACCAAACAGATCACCCGTTCTAGCCATGCCTCAGATCCCTCTATTTCACTTCCTGTTTCAAAAGTGCTGATTTTGGGTATAAAGCTTTAAAAAAATTGATACAAAATAAAAAAAGGAGGGGTCTGAGCTCATGCGGGACCCGGCAGCTACTGTCTAAACTAAATACTGCCGTGATGAAACGCCATATCATGGATTATCAAGGATTATCTCTGAAACAGTCTGGAGCTCAAAGGCTTTCTCTCTTGCCCGTTAAACCACAAGGTGAGTTCCTTTTTACTTCCTGCTTCTTCACACACATGCTCTCCAGTACAGGTTAGCTCTGAGTGTTAGCGATGCTAATGTAAACACCGACCATATTACGTCCAAAACAGTCTGGCATTGTTTCTGATAGCAACGTTTCTGATAGTGCTGTGGGTCTGCATTGCCGATATGACGTCATATCAGACGTAAATCTGGATCAGCTCCGTTGTACCCCTGTTTTTAGAGATTTGGGTACGGAGGAAAAGAGAAAAGTAAAAATGTATATATACAGCGGTGTGCTAGCATCAATAAGAAGAGAATGCTGAATTACACAGTATGAAAGGTTTGGCTGTGGATTTTATATCCTGGTGGAAACACTGAACAAACGTTTTTAAATAGAAATAGTTAAATTGACTTGTTTAATCAGCTTTTATAGCAACACCTCCATCTAACCTTGTGTGTGTGTGTGTGTGTGTGTGTGTGTGTGTGTGTGTGTGTGTGTGTGTGTGTGTGTGTGTGTGTGTGTGTGTGTGTGTGTGTGTGTGTGTGTGTGTGTGTGTGTGTGTGTGTGTGTGTGTGTGTGTGTGTGTGTGTGTGTGTGTGTGTGTGTGTGTGTGTGTGTGTGTGTGTGTGTGTGTGTGTGTGTGTGTGTGTGTGTGTGTGTGTGTGTGTGTGTGTGTGTGTGTGTGTTTCAGCCCTACGAGGTGGTGCAGACATGTGTGCCTCTTACCTTGAAGGGGGACGAGACCAATGTTTACAGAGTCACCCTGATGGCCACGCTCTCCTCCGCTGCTGACTGACCTCTAAAGTACCTGGAGGCTGGCCAGAGTTAAATCTACACATACACACTGACACAACACACACACATTTGATATACCGTACATTTATGTTGCCAACATTAAGAAATGAGTAGATTATTTATTAAGAAATATTAAACTAAGTTTTGTTCACAAATCTGACTCGCTCTAAATTGATTGAAAGCTTGAAGCAAATGACTGCATATCTAATACCACCACCAGGGGGGGGCGGTACATCACCACCACCTCGGCAGCTGTGTTATATCATGGTTCAGGGCGTGTCAGCTGATGTAAACCAGCAGATGTATACAGTACATACTGTAGCACTGCTGGTGCTAGAGCCATCAAATGCAGCAGGCAGAGTTCACACTTGAGGCCAAACAAGGCGCAGTCTGTCAAATATGACCCAGAATGATATAGATAATTAATATAAAACAGTCATTTTGTATAAAGACCATGCGTAAAACTACATCCTATTTATCAGCTATGAACAAATGTATTGGTAATAATAGCAAGAGTTGGAGCTGTAAGCTTAAATGCTTTGTGAATAACAACAATAACAGTCTTTATCATGTATATTCCAACCAATGAGCATGTTATTATATTTCATCAATCACGAATTAGATAATTTCATGCTACAAATAAATTAAATATTTGCATTTGGCCCCAGAAATCACGGTGTTTAACTAACACCCCCCTTACGTTTCATCTTATGCACAAAACGTATTGGTTGATGACTGATTCAGAATGAAAATCAAACTATAGTTCCCTTGAATCCCTTCAGTCCGTCACTCCCATCCTGAGGCCTGTGGACCGGGCCCAGTACTGCACTAGATCTCTGCACTAACCCGTACCGTCCACTAGGAACCCCTTGACGTCCCCACTGGCCCCTCCAGCCGTTTTGGAATTCCAGGAATGTTATGGCATTGGAAGTGTTGTAGTGTAGGCCTATTTGAAATACTGTAAGTAAGTTAGGGCCGGATTACTTACCACTCTGGGCATAGTCCACAATCATTAGAGTGGTTTATGAACAGGTGTCTACACTAGAACTGAAGAATAACTAGGAGCACAAAAGAGATACAAATATCTGCACACTACTCGTTGATCATTCTTATTATATTCTAAGTGGACACAATGTTTTAACTATTGAATACATAGACAACGCTTAACCCTTAAATGGGCAAGCACATATAAATATTTCGGATTACTATTTTATTTCACCCATAATACTCCATTATTACACCCAAACTACACCCATATTACACCGTTATGACACCCATATTACACCGTTATGACACCCATATTACACTGTTATGACACCCATATTACACCGTTATGACACCCATATTACACCGTTATGACACCCATATTACACCGTTATGACACCCATATTACACTGTTATGACACCCCAAAACACTTATATTACAACATTTACACCCTTTTTACACAATACTACACCCATATCGCACATGGACACAGCCTGTCAAATGACTGTATCCCCAAGGATGCAGAAAACATTTAAGGGTTAAAAGAAATATATATATGGGGCCCTCAAAAACAAAACATACAAGGTGGTGCTGAGTATTTGCCCCTCTGCACAAATTGGAAAAACTGAAATGAATCATTTAATGCTGAAAATATTTACAGGGAAAGCTCTTATTTCCATGGCGGGTATTTTTATGGACGGTATACACAATATGTACATTATTTTTATCAAATTTGACTTCATGGTGCAACAACAAATTGTGTAAAAGATCAGAATTTGAAAAATGAATATATTAGATATGAATTTGAAATGAATAGACTGCTCCTTCATGTGTATTTAGGCCTTTTTAAAGATAACAAATGAAGAGAGGGCTTGTCACACACATGTAGTGGAAACAATTCAACCATATTGGACATTCACAAAACATTGAAAACATTATCTGATATTAGGAATAATCCTCACTTAGCTTATTTTACAGCATTGCTCAATCACATTTAAATAGTTGAGTTCTTCTAATGATGAGCACTAACTCGATTCAGCTCCATGTGAGCCAGGCCCTGTGCATGTGAACAGCAGATGTCAGTAATGGCTCAAAGCGGACCAATAGGATCTGACCTCTCAGAGATACATGCTGTAAGCATTTATCAGAGATTGTAGGAGATTACACTAAATCAGATTACTGCACCCCAACCTGCCTATAAAAAGCAAGGTCATTATGGGCTTAGCCTCGTGTAATGTCACCCGTTTTATGAACTGTATGAGATCATATTAGGCAATATTTGTGTTGCCATTTTGCCTCTTTTTCTAATCTGATTTCTACTCTGAGCTCTCGCTAATACTGTGAGATAGTGCTACTTACTGTGTATCTGTCTGCGTGTGAGCGCAAAGCATGGAGTAAGCCAAAGCAACCCTATAATGTATTGGAGAAGAAAAAGTTGACTTTCTATGACCATTTTAAATAGGTCTGCAGCAAGCCATTATTTTCAGTATAAATAAATCGTATGAATATTGTTTTAATACATTTTCTTGTCGATAAAATGTCAGAACGAAGGGGAAATGTCAAGCCAGTTTCTCTAGTCCATTTAAATGTCTTGTTTTGTCAGTCAAAACCAAAATACAATCATTCTAATTACATAACATAAAGAAATCTCCACATTTGAGAGGCTATAAACTGCATTTTCAACAATTTTTCCATTACATTTTTGTAATGATTGGATTACCAAAATAGTTGCTGATTCATTTTCTGTTCATCGATTAATCAATTATTCAACTTGTATATGTAGCCCTAATGTTCATTTACATTTTTTATTTTAAACAGTTGCTTTATTAAAACATAAAAAGCTACCATGTTCATCATCATCATATAAGAAGTTGAGTTAGTTATACAATTAAGGAATGTTCTTTACAGAAGAATATAAGCAATTGTTAAACTCTCCTTATTTAAATTATTGGCGATCATTAACATCACTGTTTGACAATAAAAATGAACATTGATATTGAAAGTGCATCGAGGTGTGGACCGTTCTTTTTCCGCCCTGCTCATCACAAGGCTGAATGCAGACGATGATCTTCCTCCCCCAGGTGGTCCGGAGCTCCGCTGAAGAAGCTTCACAACACATGTATGCAGCAGACAGGCAGGGGTGTATCCAGGGGCAACTAAATCTCAGCAGCATTAACCTGGGCCGATGAGTCCCGGTGGAAACTCACACCCAGAACACGAGCACACGCACTGGGTGGTGTTTTCAACTCAGCATGAGTCTGTCTACCACTGGTTGTTCTTTATAAAGTCAATGTTGTAACATTTTCACATTAACGTTTCTAAAAAAAACTAGAACTATAGTTGTGTCCTTATATGATCCTTAATATTTTCAACACTTTTCAAACTTATAGATAATTTCATCAAATTACCGCTCAGTAACTTTTGGTAACCTGTAATGGCGTCATATCCCTTTTACACGTGTTGTGGTTGTCTGCCAGAAGCTGTAATACATTGACATTTTATCCAGTTTTAATCTATATTTTCATGATTAAAGATAGATGTTGATTAAAGATAGATGTTGTTTGTTTTTAACTATTTATTTTAACTGGAAAAAGGATTTAACTCATCGGACGTCTTTTCAGAAAAACTAGTTTAGCAAATGTTAGCGACACCTGAACTGCATTGGATAAAAACTGAATTTCAATGTGGAACTTCTTTTAATTTCCTGGTTTTAATAACTGGGTGAGCCTGTTTGGGACAATAGGAGACCCCTTGGGAATATTCTGCTCCAGTGATAACCTCCTGAATGATGAAGTATTCCTTACAGGGTAAACTGACTGCAATGGTGGTGACGACGACAACAACAACCTGTATCTACAATTTGATGGGAACAATTAAAAACAGCCAATATTTATTCCAACTATCAAATCGACAAATTCAAGATTCCAGTCTTTAATAAGGTTAAAATTAAGAACTCTTGGCCATCTGACTGGTGCACCACTATTGTGCACCAGTCAGTCCTTAAAATGAATACAGGGTGTAATTCCTGTCCAAATGTACAATAAAGGGTCTTGTACATATTGTCTTTAGTCATTGTAATGTTGTGTTAGATGTCTGTTTCCTTGCTTACCTTGTTGATGTAGCAAATGGAGTCACTGTTTTGCAAGAACATTTTTAGACTTGATCTGACAGTAAAGTCATATTTTATTGTAACACCCCACGCTACTTTACGGCGCCACCTAACTCCATCTTTTGTTTTGTTTTAATTTAGAGACTCCTACTGGCAGAAAATCACATAGTTAGCGTTTCCGTTACAGACAATTGACATAATTTTTTTGAAAGTATACATTATACTATCTTATATTCTGACAGTTAATATGTGAAAGGTATGTATTTGGTACATTAACATGGGATACAGACCATCCCAAAGAAGATAACTGTTGGAAAGCAATTTGTTTCATCCTACAATTTTGAGGTTTACAGAATTCGCCATGAACCCCTAGCAATTGTTCGTGACGCAGGATTTTATAGAGTGCATATATCCATTATTTTATCTGCAAAATGTGGATGTCAAGAGACAAAAGCGAAACAGATCAGGCACAAACAGTACACATCCTTTAATGCTGGGCTACTGTAGACAGAACATTGTCTCTCTCTCAGGAGCGTTCTTCATCCCAACCATAGCTGATGATGCTTTTGTTTTCCCCCATCGGACCAAGCCCATACACACTTTGTTGTCCCAGTGGACCCTAAAGTGTTCCACGTCTCCAAGTAACGACTTAACCCACTGAGCATTAACCCCTCCTCAGAGCACTCTACCTAGACTACTGGTGATAATAATGATCAAGTCATCTCTGTGCTGCAGTGATGGCCCACCCATAAACACTAAGCGCTGGAGGAAAATCCCCACTGATTTCTTAGCATAGTACACAGGGACATCAGTTCATACACCATAAAGTATGGCAAATTTCTTGTCAACAAAAACTTCCATTGCCAGCCCATTTTGACCAAAGGGACTGGTGAGTGTAAAGGTTTATAAAGGATGTATCATCAGTCCAGTGTAGAGGAAATTATGTGGATTATCTTTGAAATATTTTTCATAAATTAGCAATTATTTATTGATATAAAAAATAATAAATAGTAGACTGAACACTCGTTAATAGTGAATATACTTGTAGTGTAGATGTGTTTTGCATTTAGCCATGCACACTGCAGGAAAAAACACTTCCATAGTCAAATGTGTAGCACAGTCTGCTTTGGTTTGCAAATGAGACTGTTGCTGGCTTAATGTAGTGGTTGTCTTACTGACATGAAATACACACTTACTTTAGGTCCAAAACACATCACAAAGTTTCATGTTTGTTTTCGACTTTAGAGTTTATGTTGTGAAATGGATGAATGTATACTATTGGTAAAACAAACTTGTATACAAAAGTCATTCCTAAATATTATAGTTTCTTGCAAATTATAATGAAAGTAAACACAAGTACCTGTGGAGCTTTGTAAGTCACAGTATCAGAACCACTGACATAAACAATGACTAGGGTGTGGAAAGGCTGTTGTTTTAACCAACTTGAGCATGATAAATATTTATTATCGCGTGAAATTAGATCTTAACACTTTAAATGATCTAATTTGTTTGAATAAAAGCTGTGTTTTTGGCAGGTAAATGTTATTTAGGTTATTGGTGCTACCAAAAATGGCAGTATTTCCTGATCTGTTGGTCGCCGACCCTTCGGCGTACGTTGTGACGCTGCCGTAACGTGGGGTTTCCCAGACCTGAGTGCAGGGTTACCGCGCCCATCTCTGCTGTTTGATGGCCGGAGGAAGAAGCGACTGAGATCCTGGCGTGAAGGAAGAAAAAAGAGGGACGACGACGGTGGGAAAGACAAGAAGGGATTTTTGCTTTGAGTTGGAATTTGCGTTGAAACGGAAGAACGCTCACACGGGACTCTTGAAAGGTCTATCTGGGTGAACACCGCCTTGTCTCTGTGCCGGTGTGTCTCCCTTCTCGGCGGGTCAAAAACTGGGTTCGGGGAGTGCCGCTCCTCGGTAGCTAAACTAGCTAAATCTTAGCGCCTGGGCGGAGAGAGGAGAGACAAGATTTTGCGGTTTCCAGTCAATGTGATATAAACAACGGATACCCTCGACTGAAAGCGGGTAAGGATATTTGCTGATATTTTTAAATAACGCTTCAGGAAATGCATTAAATGTGTGCTGTAGCCTATCGAGTAGGGAGGATGAACGAAAGGGGTTAAACTGGGCTGAGTGGCTCCTCCGTTACAGTTAGCTGCTGTTAGCCTGATGCTAGCTGGTCGTTGCTGCCAAGAGAGTGGGTGGGGGTCACTGTTAGATAAACTTAACGCACTGCGTTAACCCCAGATGTCAATTCACCGGAACCATAGTTGGTAGCTTTTAAATGTAATGATTTAATCCGACAAGCTGGTGGTTAATGCCCAGTGCTAATGTTAATTAGAAGGTTAGTTGATGACAGCTCGGTAGGTTAGCCAGCACCCCTCTCCTACGTCCGGGTATCTTCCCCCTCTCTTAAGAAATAAGATCTCGTTGTTGAAATATATTAGTAGCCCTTTTGCCCGAACAATGTTTAAAGTCAGGGCTTACTAAACACGTTATATTGAGCCCAATCACCACCAGCATATTGGCTCTCTATGTCGGCCCACAGTTCACATCTCTACTCTATCGATAGCTTCTGATTACCTGGTAAGCTAATTGGTCGCACATTTGCTACTCAGTTTATTGTTGACTAACTCCTAGCCGAGCTGTTTGAGGAGGGTGATTACAACGTTGCAACTTCTCATACTTGCATAACTACAAACAGACTTTGGATTTACTTCCTCTCATGTTGGAAATGTGTAGCATCATGCAAATGACAACGAAGGGAGTCTAAAAATGGCTACTTCACCAACAGAATCACTACCACCCCCACTATTCCGTAGCCAGTCCATACAAGTTAGCCAGCAGTGGCCGCAGCCTGGTATGGCCGATCTGGGTGTGTATACTAGGGAACATGGCAGCCAGAACAATTTGCCTCTACCCGTAGTGAATACGAACGGTGTTGTTGTTGAATGCCGCTTTTATGTAAAATTCGTGCACTGAAGCGTTAGTATTCCCCTTTCTGAAATAATTTACGTAATGCCGAATGTTTCAGCTTTGGACATTCATGTGAAAGGCCATGTTTTAAATGGGATTGTTGAACTAACGGCGTTTAATTTAGTGAATCGAAACCAAACCATCATGGATTATTCTGTGGCCTATGTCACAGCTATATGTTAACATTCCCACATTTAGTCTGCATTGAGCCACCTAGTCATCCACCCATAGTGCTGAAAAGGAAATGGATAATGCGTTAGGGCGAATTTTCCCCGTAATTCTCAATGCATAAATATGATTTTGTGCATTTATTGCAAAGCGGAAACAGCGATTTAAGATCGCATTGAAGAAAAAAACGACAATAAGCTCTGCTGTGATAGGGGCAATAGCCATTTTAGTTTCACGAGTGTTAAGCCCAGCGTCGGTTTACAAACACTCTGATCGACCTTAATTTGAACTTCTTCTTTTAATGATGTGAAACGAGATAGTCTAATTGGATTTTGACAATCTGTTTATCTCGATCACGGGTGTGTTGCAGGGCGAGTTGTTAGCAGCTACAGTAACCATTGCCCACCGGGCCGCGCTGCTCCACAGTGTCTCAGCTGGAGCCCGGAAAACAGCCTCGACGAAGCCTTGAATACTATCAAGCTTGCCAGCATAAAGTGTTTATGTAGAAACAGGAGTACGGATACTTTTATTAAGTGGTAAATATTTCGAAACGTAGTTTAGCAAAGAGGCAATTGTGCTGTCGCATGAAGCCGAGCTGAGCCTCCTGTAGCACCGAGGCAAGATGTAGCCTCCCACTTTCAAGTTATTGACCAGCAGCACTGCTAAGTAAATGGCATCTGAAGAATTCATTACGGGATGTAACACATTTCTATTAGTTTACAGGAAATGTTGGTGTTTCTTAAAAGAGCTATTTGTATTTACTGGTTCACAAAGATGAATTCATTTTGCCAGTGTGCCCCCTCCCTCCGCCTCCTCGAATGAATGGGTTCCTGTATTCAGGGCCCAAGCAGCTGCAATGAACAAGATGGCGTTCAAAGCCTTTTTCATCACTGCTTTTTCTCACACTGAGGGAGACAGATGCCGAGCATCGGATGGGTTCGCGATTGTCAGACTAGATTTATTTGGTTTCCCGTCGTAAAAAAGTACAGATAGTGTTTGCATTTTAAACGTTTTTAAAGCTGACGAGATTTCTGGTCAGATGATTCGGATATGTGCACCTCGGATACAGGACAACATGGTGGGAAAGGGGTGTTGTACATCTTGACCGAACATTAGTATACCAGGGAACATAACAACTATAACACATCATTGTATGGTTAAAAAAGAAATAAACATTTGATTTTAATATTCAACTTAATTTATTTTTCAACACATGTAACCACACCTTTGGGTAATTTGACATTATGTTCTCAATCTGGATTAGTAAACAGTTATAATTAAAGAATAGATTGTTAAACGTAAATTGTATATCCAGAGCTTTACTCAGATCCAAGTGCAGTGATTTTCCCTTTTTTCTTTTTCACTTTATAACACTTAAAAACATACATGTAACAGTTATTCAATGATGTTCATAAAAAGTCAGCATTTCTTTTGACACAGTATATATAAGTATTTCTATTATTTATTTATCAGTTTGTAATTGTGGAAATTGTGCATATTTGCAATGCCACTGAATTACCTAATTATATGTGTGGAGCCAAAATACTTATGAGACAACTCTAACAGCTGATGTCCCCTGTCTTTTCGAATTTAAGACTCCTTACTAGTTATGTCATTATTTTTATTTTTTTATGAATTCATTGGTCCAGCACTTAAGATGTTTTAGAACAACCTATATATGCATCCAGTAATTTAAGTAGGTATCAAATATTGTACTATTTATTGTTAATCATCTTTTGTGACATGGATATGACCCACACTGCCCTGACACCCAGAATGTGTTTGACCCTGGTGGACCGTAAAGACATCATCTGCAGGCTTTTCCATAAAATTGTATTGATCTTTATTGGATGATACAAGTGGTGTATGACAAGTCTATCTGAAAGCCTTCATGGCAGTTATGTGTGTCTGAAATACATTTGTCCTTGGGTCAGTAGAATGCGTGTCAACACAAGATAATGACCATGTGTTTAAAACCTGAGTGATTAGCCTTTTGCACTGGGGGATCTTTGTGTTTAATAAAAAGGATTTTCATCCCGCTGATTTTTCAGTTTTAATCTGCGAACGCAGAATAATAATGGGATTAAAATCTTAGTCTGTGGATTTCACTCTTTGGGATTATGAGGCTTTGGTCAGTGATAGCACTGATTTTTCTTTACTTAGGATACGAACGCACAAATACAAGTTTAAAGAGTACATGCATACTCAACTTTTTACTATAGTGCAGTTTACTCCATACAAATAGCAAGGTACATGTAGTGCCCTAATCTCTACCCATGTATCAGTGTTAAGAGTTCATGCTCTAATGTCTAATGTCATCTAGTTTGCTCAGAATATTTGACTGGTATTGCGTATGCGCTCATATCATGAGTGTCACATTCTTTAGTTAATTTCCTAATTTGTTATTACGCATTTCAACTACACTTCATGCCATTTAAAGAAAATGTGTCTATTGTCATCGGAAAAAACAATATTAACAAAATAATGTTTTTCTGAATCCCCGGTGTTTTTATGACTTACATTGTTTTTGCTCTTTAGGCATTATCGGATGGTGCTGCTTCAGGCGGTAAACGTTCTTGTTTTTATTGGCCATGTTTTTCTGCAGATTACCAGTACTTTAGTGCCCTGTAGTACTGTCAGGGTTTTTTGAGACGACAGGCTTTCTGTTGCCCTAATAGAGAATGTGTCTGGGACACAGTAAACTTGCTATCCTCCTATCCAGGGGATGCACATTCTTTCCCGTAAGATGCTACAGTTTTCGATCAACCAATCTATGTTGACATGGGTAGAAAGAGAGATAGTTAACATTAGCTGTTACCGCTTAACAGCAGGTCAACAGAGACTACAAGAGTTGCATTATGGTGTTTTCATGCTCACATGTCCATATTTTATGAGCCGTAGGTCAATTTTAGCCTTTTTATGATTGTGTTCAATGTAGCTTAACCAAAATCTAGTTTTTGGCTAGAAAACGTAGTGAATTTAGAGTTCACCTACTCTTCAGTTTGAAGATTACATTTTATTTCCATCAATATCTTATTCGTATCAAGAATCCTGACATTTCTCCGGCATTGGTATCGAACTACATTTTTGACATCGCTTCATCCATATATAGGTTAAGTGCCACAACACTCTTTTCTGTCAAACAAAAAAATGCCATGACAACCTTTCTGCTAATCCATTGGCCTTTGCTAATCCATTGTTCTGTACTCCTGAAGGCGTAGCTCTCTTTATCCACAATGGTGGCATTATGGCTCCCATTACTTTACTCTTTCGTCTGATGTATTGTGGTTTAGCAGTCGGAATCCCTTTTCCTTCTCTACTGGCTTATGCCCCGGCCACACGAGGACGAAAACGGCCGTTTGCGTTACTGTTTAGTGTCATATAGACCATTCGGCCATACGAGGACGACAGAATACGGCACTAAACGACTGAGGAAACGATAACGGGTCCCAAGGTGGATAGAACGGCATACGCAACGCTCTGGGGGGTCAAGCGGCTCCGTGTGTGCGCCCTATACGAACATTTTCTAATAGTTATTGCGCAATAGCAATAGCCCCGCCTCTCCCCACCTCTTCTGCTTACCCTGCGCCATTGCTGATGTGTTTCGCCACCAACAACAACAACAACAATGGCGGATCGCAGAGTTGCTATCGTGCTCCGGACGCTACTGACCATGCTACAGTTCTTTGTGCAACATCTACAGCAGACTTACACATCCGGGGGGATCTTACTCGCTGCTTTTGTGGATATGTACTGCAGCTTCAGCGATCATTTTCTGATAATGATTGCGCAATAGCCCCGCCTCTCCCCACCTCTGCTGCTCACCCCCGCGTTAAAGTAAACTGCACACTGAATTGAGATTATTTATCTTTCTCTCGATA